AAGTTAGAATTATTATACAAATAGATAATTGACATGTAAAGTTATAATTGACATGCAAAGTGATGTATGATATCCACATGCAATATGATATTTAACATTCAAAGTTCTTATCAATATGCAAGTAAAAGTTGAGACAAAGAACAACCAATTAAAATCAAAGGTCTAAGATAAGACGGGGAATTTAATTGGCATGTTTTTCTTGTGTTAAGAAAATAATCTCAAAAACTGTTATGAGTAAATGAATTTTCTCATACCTTCGAAATACGTTCAGTTGCTTCAAGAACGTTCACCCACATTCACAACGGTCTGCTGTTTCAGATTGATTCAGCACAAAACTTTTTTTCTTTTCCGTGTAAACCATTGAACGCTGTGGCAAGAAATTTAATTACAACCTTTGAAACCTACACCAACTGTTCGTACTGCAAAGTCAATCGCAACCATTGCTGCTTCAACTAAAGTGGCTACGACAAAATTCAACTTATTAAATGTTGTAATAACTAATTGAATGATCGTTAATTGATTCATCTGTTGGAAGAGCTTTTTAAAATTGCGGGGCCGTCGTCAGAACCACAATTCTGAACGATAAGTACATCGCAAACCTAAAGGTTTTCCTACCTGAGGGTCTCGCCTAAGTTGAGATTGTTGACGCCGGCTTTTTGGAGCACGCGCTGACACTCAACGACACAATCCTACGGCCAATACCAATAAAAAATGCCAGTTAAATACTAAATCTAAAGTACAATCAAAGGAACGTACGAATTTATATACGAACTCTATGAAGAACTTTCGAAGTAAAACCGTACGACTGAACGTTAATAATAGTTAATACAATGATTGTTTGATTTGATACGTTGCACAATTAAATGAAGCGGATCAAAAATTTGAAAATTTTTTTAGAAAATAAAAAATGCTATTTTGAAAATACAATGTTTTTATTTAGCGGAGTTCTAAAATTTTTAAGAATATAATGAATTGTATCTCAAAATATGTGATTGTAGAATGGTACTAAACACACGTGAAACAAAAATTTTAATATCAGAAAATCTTCTTAAATTTATAATTAAATACGGAGGCCAAAGCGTTTTTCCAATTTACGAGTTGCTCTTCAAACTTTACTAACTATAAGGGTGTCAATTTTTACTTGTGAGCGATCATTCAGTAAGTTGAAATTAATACTAAATTACTTAAGAGCTACAATGAGTCAATAGCGGTTGTGCAACTTGGCATTGCCGTGTATTGAAGAAAATGAAATGAATGGTTGAAATTTTGAAGATACAATCAACCAGCCAGAAAAGTTGACATCTAATGAAGTTTGCCACCTTTTTTACAATTCATTTTTTAAACAAATAGAATTGAAATATGATTTTGTTACCAATTTTTGAAAATTTACTTTTTCGTATGACCAGATTAAATGTATTGTTGTAATTGGTTTTTTATTGTTAGCATGTTTGTCGCAATGTTGAGAAATTGAACTTAGTTTTGAATTAAGAATTTGAATATTTTTGATTAAGTAGCGCCAATAAGAAATTTCCCAGTTCCAGAATTTTATAGTCGCTAGTAATGCATTGGTCAACCATTAATCAAATTCACTACGAATG